CTTTGAATGAGAGGCCAACACCTTAACCTCTAGGCCACGAGAGCCCCCCTGGTTGACACTGAGGAAGGCTAGTTTTGTAGTTTACAGTACAACACGGGTAGGTCGAACACAGAAGACTGGAAATCATGCATCCGTCGAACTGTGCCTTTGGTCCTCATTTTTTTCTCTTCTTTTTCTTTGTAAGATGTCCTTTGAACGGAGGATCTCTTGAACTACCGAGGCCGGTCCCGACGAAGTCGAGCTACCTGTGTTATACTGTATAAGTCTCTTTGCTAAAATTCACCCACTCTTGCCCGTCTTCCTTTTCTTTTACTTACTATAGACTGTAAAGAATCAACTAAGATATTTGTATTTGAATCGTGTTGATTAATGAGTGGGTTTGGTTTTTATTCACTTGAGGAAGTCGGTTTTGGCAACTCTGAAGTGGATGGCGTCGGTGGTTGGCGGGTGCTCTGGTGTGGTTTGCTTCTTGTATCCTATCAAACATCTATCGTCCTTATCTCCCCTTCTTCTTTTTTATGGTTGTTCCTCTCTTGTAACACCTCTAATCTTCTGGCGCTCATATGACCTCATGCAGTTTCAAGCGCCGTAAAACCTCTACTAAAACTAACTAAAAAAAAAAAAAAAAAAAGAAGTGGATAATTGGAGGGTGTCACTGCTAGGTCTTTCTTCTCTTCTGTTCCCTCTGTTTGTGTCTTGTTTGTTTCACTTTTTCCTCACACTAAATGATTGTTATCGCATGTTGTTGTACTTTTTTCCACCTCTCTGTGGCATGAATTATTTGTAAGTAATGAACCCTATCCGTACGTCTTGTTTTACTATCGTGTCCATACGACATGGGGAACTGTGTGCCACCACTTTCAAAGAGGAAATTTACTCGTCAATATGATCCGTACGCTTTGCATAGCAGTCTGTCAAAATGATTTTTTGAGAAGCACTGAAAGTTTCAAAGAGATCTTCATACTGGAAGAAATCTAAAATGTGAAGAATACAACGCCGGGGGCACAAAATGACCCCAGGACGTACGGATAGGGTTAAATTAATTATTAATAATCTGATTTTATTTTGTGTCGGCAGGAGTGTGAGAAGTCTCGACTCAATCGCTTTGTACCTCCGAGCTACCCGTTCATCGCCAAGTATGACGACAAAGGCCATGCTGGCAGGGAGCTGCATCGTCAGATGGGATGGGGCGGCAGTTTTGACCGGTCGCCAGAACGGAGACGCAAGTCTAGCGAGGGACACAAACAGGGTACAATATTTCTCTCTCCTTTTTGATAATGATTGACCAATCGCTATTTATGTGTGGTTAGTGGGTGTTCTGGTGTGGCTT